CAGTCATTGTAAAGGTAATAATGTTATGTTAGAAAAAAACGCATCTTTGGAGGTATAATGTAAAATCTACATTTAACAGGGTCTTTTTTTCTGAGAATACTCCAGCCGACAACTGTCGAATGTCCACCAGAAGCTGGAATCGAGACAGATGTTTAGGGCTAAGTTTGTTATATTTGTTTATCTACTGTTGTTTGTTATAGTTGCTTAATTTTTCTATTGTTTATTATAGTTGTTTAATTTATCTATTGTTGTTTAATTTATCTACTGTTGTTTGTTATAGTTGTTTAATTTATCTACTGTTGTTTGTTATAGTTGTTTAATTTATCTACTGTTGTTTATTATAGTTGTTTAATTTATCTATTGTTGTTTATTATAGTTGTTTAATTTATCTATTGTTGTTTATTATAGTTGTTTAATTTATCTACTGTTGTTTATTATAGTTGTTTAATTTATCTATTGTTGTTTATTATAGTTGTTTAATTTATCTACTGTTGTTTGTTATAGTTGTTTAATTTATCTACTGTTGTTTGTTATAGTTGTTTAATTTTTCTACTGTTGTTTGTTATAGTTGTTTAATTTATCTATTGTTGTTTGTTATAGTTGTTTAATTTATCTATTGTTGTTTGTTATAGTTGTTTAATTTATCTACTGTTGTTTATTATAGTTGCTTAATTTATCTACTGTTGTTAATTATAGTTGTTTAATTTATCTACTGTTGTTTGTTATAGTTTAATTTATCTACAGAAGCATTTTACTGATTGCACGAATGACAGGGTAAAAAATCTATAAAAGATTAAAGAATCGTATCCTTATAAAACTTTGTTTGAAGTCAGTTTTCAAGATTTGAAAAAGCTTAGAACCTACTTCCTTATCTTACTATTCAAAACAAATCATTTAGGAGGCAAATGCCATTTTATTTCAACAGTACAACGTATTGTATTGAAATCCCGAGACACTAATCAAAGTTTGAATTGAGTTAAATCTTCTGTAACCGCCTACTCTTGTATTTAATTAATACTTTATTTCAGTTGATGTTCACATCTCCACATCGCCGTTAAATCATCACACAATAACGGATATGATCATGTTTCTCAAATATCCACTTTGATCATTGAAATAGGATATCCCCAGAGACTAGCATGATTGAATCTTTACGGTAAAATTCTTGTTGTTTCCGCTATCATTTACAGCCCTCTTTCCTTAATTAATTAACCATCCATCATAATTTGATACCATTAAAAAAATCACAGTTCGATTGACCATGCTTTGTTCATCATCAGTTCTTTCACAACACAAAGCCATTGACAACGGCGACATATCGTTCGATTTTTTTCGCTTTCGACTAAATATCATAACTGAAAAAGCTTCTTGAATACGAATTGGTATAAGATGCATGATTTGCCACTAAAAGGTAGACGTCGTATGATTGGTCTTTCTGAAATAAACGACTGGTCACTCAGTGGTGATTGAAGTAATTGTCACTCTTTTCCAAACATGTACGATTTGCCACATACGAAAATATGCATGGTTCTTACGTCAATATAACACACACAGACGTAGTTCACAGGCTGCAATATTTTTAAAAATGGTTGCGAACTAGGTTAGTGTTTGTTATTTCCGTGTAAGAACCATGCGTAGTTTCTTGTGCGATTTGACATTCTGTTGTAAATGACGTATGTTTGGTCAAACTATAGTAAACAAAGTATGATTTCTCACTCTGTGATAAACTAAACATAGTTTGCCAGTATGAGGTGGACGGTATATGATTAACTAAACTGTGGCAAGGTACGCTTTGCCACTTTGTGGTAAACAATGAATAATTTGCGACGTTATTGTCAAGTCTTTATGTTTATTGCATATATATTATTTACGAGCTTCTTTTATGCAAACAGGTGAGCAATAGCCATTTAGTGGAGATTTTTCTTGATATCAAAGCTTAAAGGCCCAGATGAGCAATTTTTTTTTTATCTAAACCCATTAGTAATTAATGTTCAGAACTCGAAAATAGAGCTTTCAAATCGATGAGTGTCCAGAATTATCCGTGTTTGAAAGATAAAAAGGCGAGTCGTCTTATAGAAACAAAAATTTCTAATTTGAGATATTTTTGAAGGAATTATGCGATTTTGGTACATTTCTAGTACTTCTTTTTACTTATATTCAAGACTGAAATCAAGCCACCCAAAATGGCACATCTGTCCCTTTAACTAACATCAACATAAACGAAACGACCTGTCGAATGATAATTCTATCAATTGAATAATTAGACTAGTAGAGCTGTATCAGTAAGAATATAATTATTAATAATGAGGCCGGAGATCTAACTATTTAACTACAATTGTTATCTGACTAAAAGTCAATATCAGGTACAAAATGACAAGACACGTCCTGCAATATTGACTGGTAAATACAAGCAAAAGGATATGGTTTCGTTAATCCTATTCATACCACAGAAAATCTATATTATTCCTATCAGGCCTTTGAAGCGAGACTGATATAGTTTTACTTTATCATTCAAAATTAAAACCATATCGAAAATCAAGATAGCACAATTCAGTAATCAAACTCTTAAAGAGACATACATGTATTGAATTTCCTTAAATTTATTCAAGGGGCGTAATCTGGAAGTGAAAAGGGGTGGTCTTTGCATAAAATTTGCGTATTTTCAGAAATTATTTCAATAGGCCAATTAAGTTAGAAATGGATATTCATAGCTTTTATTTTCAAGCTATGCAGAAAGTATGGATGGTGAATATAAAAGATGAAACCAGAACGTCGAGACTTTGTGTTGGGACGTCAAACCAGATGAGTAGGGGCCGGGACCCGTGGACGTTAGTGGGTTGGGGCCCTTCCCCCAATATGTTTAATTATAAGGACATAATATTTTTCTTCATCCCAGCATAAGTTTTGTACCATTTTATATAGATATATTTTATTTAGACATTTTTGTAGGGTGGGGCCCCCTGGGGCGAGGGGCTCGTGGACTTGGTTCAACCAGTACCTATGATAGCCCTATCACTGAAAAACATTCCATAAAACATAGACTAGGCGACTGAAAGATTATGGAAGGGAATTAGTGCCGTAATTTAATGCCATAGATATATATATTTATATATTCATTAAATGTTATGCCTATTATAGAAATCATATCATTGTATTAAAATGGCGACCAGTTAATTCCTTTTTCATTTTTGGAAACAGGTGCGAGTCTCAGCCAAATTATGCTATAAAAGCATGGGCATAACTCTGACACGTTTCTGATCCGCTGACAGGGGCCATGGTGCCTATCCTGCAGATTGGTAGGTTCACAAGATGGTCTGGTAAAAGGACAATGATAATGCTTCTATACTGGGAAAATTTTGAATCCGTATCCCGACCAACCCTCGTATTACATTGTCTATGTAATTTCTAAACATTCCCCCCGTTTTTAAAGGTCTTTGTTACAAACCTTCCATTATGTCCCAAAAACAAATATTCAAACCCACTATAAGAATTCTTTAAAGAGACAGGTATGTCGATAATTCTCCTGTCTCAGAAACAGGAATTTCTTTTAGCTAAGACAGTGTTCACAACTCACTGTCTTCAAATCAATGTATGTCCAGAATTATTCGCGATTGAATGTTAAAATGACGACTCGTCTTTTGTTGAGAAAATAGAAATAGAAAAGACATTTTTTTGAAGGAATTATTCGACTTTCGAACATTTGTAGAACTTCTGAAGACTATTTACAAATTTACACTTTACAAGACTCTAATCAACCTGAGCAATACGGCACACCTGTCTTTTTAAAACGGTCAAATAAAAAATCTCTACACAAGATAGTATATAATAGTTTGCAAACGCAAATAGATTCCACGTGCTAATGTGTAAAGCTACAGGTGGCCATGTTCAAATAACAACCCATTTAGAGGTCGGTTTCACTGACAAACCTCGAAGGTATATTTATCGGCAAAACAGCCGTCAGAAACGTGGTAATCGATGGCTTCGTACAAATCAAACAACCTCCGAGAAAATCGTAAATTCGTGTTTTTTTTTTTTGTGCATTGGGCAATATTGATAAAATCGTTCTGTCCACAATCCAAAATCCAAAGGATATTTGGAAAAGTCATTTAGACTTCATCGCTCTCTTCCTCCTTCTGACTTCATCTCTATCTTCCTTCCAGCTTCTTCAGGCTTCCTCCTCCAGACTTCATCAGCCTTTCTTATTCAGACTTCCTCAGTCTTCCTCCTTCAGACCCCATCTCTCCCTTCCTTTCCCAATTCAGGCTTCATCAGGCTTTAGATTTTATCACCAGCCTTCCTCATTCAGACATCATCAGCGTTCTTCATTCAGACTTCATTAGCCTTCCTCATTCAGACTTCATCAGCCTTCCTCATTCAGACTTCAGCAGCCTTCCTCATTCAGACTCCATCAGCCTTCCTCATTCAGACTCCATCAGCCTTCCTCATTCAGACCCCATCTCTCCCTTCCTTTCCCAATTCAGGCTTCATCAGGCTTTAGATTTTATCATCAGCCTTCTTCATTCAGACTTCATCAGCCTTCTTCATTCAGACTTCATCAGCCTTCCTCATTCAGACTTCACCAGCCTTCCTCATTCAGACTTCATCAGCCTTCCTCATTCAGACTTCATCAGCCTTCCTCATTCAGACTTCATCAGCCTTCCTCATTCAGACATCATCAGCCTTCTTCATTCAGACTTCATCAGCCTTTCTCATTCAGACTTCATCTCTATCTTCCTTCCAGCTTCTTCAGGCTTCCTCCTCCAGACTTCATCAGCCTTCTTCATTCAGACTTCATCAGCCTTCCTCATTCAAACTTCATCAGCCTTCCTCGTTCAGACTTCAGCAGCCTTCCTCATTCAGACTCCATCAGCCTTCCTCATTCAGACTCCATCAGCCTTCCTCATTCAGACCCCATCTCTACCTTCCTTTCCCAATTCAGGCTTCATCAGGCTTTAGATTTTATCATCAGCCTTCCACATTCAGATATCATCAGCCTTCTTCATTCAGACTTCACCAGCCTTCCTCATTCAGACTTCATCAGCCTTCCTCATTCAGACTTCACCAGCCTTCCTCATTCAGACTTCATCAGCCTTCCTCATTCAGACTTCATCAGCCGTCCTCATTCAGACTTCAGCAGCCTTCCTCATTCAGAATTCATCAGCCTTCCTCATTCAGACTTCATCAGCCTACCTCATTCAGACTCCACCAGCCTACCTCATTCAGACTCCATCAGCCTTCCTCATTCAGACTTCAGCAGACTTCCTTATTGAAATATCATCAGCCTTCCACTTTAAGATTTCACCAACCCTATACTCTTTTAGAGTTCATTCTCTTATTCCTTCGTTATCCCATACCTTTCAAAAACTTCAATGCCCACCTCCCCTTTCCTACCCCCTCTCTACCCCCACCTTCACACCCTCGATCTCCATCTAGGTGTATCAGAATTTCAATTACAGATAAATTTCTGCACGATTCCTCTACAGATAAAAAATGCGTCGAATGTAAAGCTGAAAATCTTTATTAGGTTGAATACACGAACAAAACAAATGACGTTGAAGTGTGGTTTTATGTCTCTATGGATTGGGGCATTTCGTCAAATGAATGATTGCGTGTCATTCAGGACTCCCACATGACTAATAGTAATGTTTGATAACCTATCATGGGGGATTCCGACACAAGCTACCTGAAAACGACATCTCAGTAAAAAACAACTGGAAGTATAACATGAAAAAAATGATGGAAAGCAAAGACTAGCTATTTTAGCACACTATAACTCTGTTTTTCATAATTCTTTTCCCATAAGAAACGATAATTTGATACAATTTTGATTAAGTGGTCAATTTACTTTATGTCCATTATTCTGTTCAATCGTATGCCTTAAATTAACTGGTTTTCTTAGATGTAAATAAAGTAAAATATATTTTTGCATATCGGCAGCACGAGATGAGCCATTTTAAAGTGCTATCCATAAGTAATGTGGTCGCTAGTAATGGTGTAGATAGCAGGGCATTGTGCGAGACTCATCAAAAAGGGAAATCGTACCAAAAATCTTTTTTCCCCAATACGTTATATGAGTTTGGCGGCGATGATTGGGTGGTCAGGGGGGAGGCAGCTGCTCCTCAAACATATTTTTTTTTGGCAGTGATCGTAGATGCCTCGGGCAGACTAGTAGTATTTTTGTAGTCTCAAACCAGCCCTCAACAAATCTTCGGCTCGTACGCCTATGCGCAAAATCCCTTCAAATAGACCGCAAACTAGGAATTTAAATACCTTTTCTGTAGGAATATGTCAGAGTATAATGCAGGACCGCCACCCCCCCCCCCCCCACCCCCACCACACGCACACAAAACACTGCCTAAATACGCACTGATAATAACGTCAAACTTATCGCTGAGTTCAAAATCTTTACGATTACCTTTACGGACAACAAATGGCAACATAGTTGAAGACAATTCTACTTTAACATTTAGTTCTGGGAAAAATTGTCATCAATCTGAATTTTCTTTGGCTGAAGCCTACGATTGTACATAAAGGTTCGAACAGTGCAGAACTTGTAACTTTAAACTTATCGTGATCGAACTAAAGATCAAAATTTTTTTTTTTTTTTTTTTTTTTTTTTTGAAAACTGAAATTCGATTATCCTTTAGTCAATGGTGGAATTTATAAGTTAAAAAACAAAATGGCGAGTTTCGTTTATAAAAAATTGCGTACAGATATTGTGCGGTAAAACGTGTAAAACAATTTGCAAGCTATTTACGTTAATAGCGACAAGGACAATTAATGGCAGTGAAATGTAAGCCTATATTATAAGCCATTTTCTAGTGACTATCTGCTATTATAATATTGATTCATTTAGGAACAGTTTATCTTCAAATCACATGATTTCTTAATGTACAGATGACAATTACTTTTGCGCGGCGGAAGTATTTCTTCGTGGCGCGTGACAATATAAAAGGTCCTGCGATCTCGTCAAGCATTCACAGACCGTCAGCAGAAACAAGCAAAGTTTTGAAACAGTAACTTTTGAGATTAAAAATGGTTGGAACACGATATCTTCAATTAGCAACAAGTTTGGCAGTGTTTTTATTGGTTCTATTTTTAACGTGTACACAAGCAGCTCCAGTAGATGATTTTGAAACTGATAATGAAGCTTTAAGGGTGAGTGATATTTTTGGATTTTTTGTATTTGTTAAAAATTTTGATTACTACTTTGGTTCATGTAGTATTTTTCTTAAAATGATACTTCACTAAAGCGCACATTTTACCAGTTTCTCGGTATTATGGATTCTTTTTATTTTATTCTATTTATTTTATTATTATTATCATTTTATGGTCTTTAAAACAAACGATACTTCTGTTTATTTCTGAGCGATTTCCAGCATCACAGACCATAACAAGAGAAAAACATGGTTAGAAAATCTGAAGGTTCTCTACTACTCTCAGTGGCCTCCCGGGGCGAGAACTGGGGGTACTTGTCGTTAGGCGACTGTCGAATGATTCTAAATGCGGCATTTCTATGGAAGCGCATAGATCAAAACCTGACTTTTTGAAAACATGAATTGATTTAGTGCATTCTCAAACATTTTTGTAGAAAATTTAAATTTGTAAGAAATGAAATACATGTAGGGGAACAATTGGGTATAACGAGGTGAAAGCCAACACCGAGTCGACGCTCGATAGCACAGGCATCAGTATTTTTCTTACCTATAGGAGAAATCGAACCCACGGCACGTAATTGCCTTGCAGACAACAACCCAACTCGCTACCGACTGAGCTATTCCACTGCCTCAAAGAGACAGTGTCCTAGCCCAGCGTCAGATAGGAGTATTGACGTGTACAGAGTTTTCCAATGTGGGGTACAAACCATTTTTCGAATTGGACAATTCAAATGGGAAGTACCAGTTTCTTAATCGTTTTTTTTTTTAAATAGTGTGCCATCACCTTTTTCTGCATTTCTCGTATACCTACTTATATATTGGGTTTTAGCAAATTTTGCGTATTAAACGTGTGAGAATCTTTTGATCTGGGTATATTGTTCTGCTCTACGATTTACTCACGAGTCATTTCCTGAAGACACACTTTACGTTTAGCGATCTTTCGAGGATTTCTAGTGGTGATTAAATAATAATAAACATTTACAAATAGAGGCAGGCAGACAGACTCAATCGGGGAACAGCTTACTGTCGAGGCTGAATTCAAACTGCGACCACTCTATGAGAGGCTTGCGACTCAACAGAGTTGTCGTAGTTTGAATTCAGCCTCGACAGTAAGTTTTCCCCGATTGAGTCCGTAGCCGCCAATTTTCAAAAAATCGAATTGATTTGGTGTTTGCCGACATAATATGTTGACCGTCTGATTCCAACCAAATCACGAAATTCCGTGATACAAAACGGAGGATCGTTAAAAAATCTTCTAAACAAGGATAATTATGGATACATGTGGATAGGAAGACTCATTGCAGGAACCAAAGACGTCTGACTGAAAATTTGATGCAAATTGATGCTATAAATGTCCCCGATTAACAATAGATACTTAGAAAACCTCTTTACAATCCCCTAAGAGATCAGTTCGTTTTCACGAGCCCCATTTGAGTGATCTACAATATAATCATTTTGTTTGTTTGATGTAAATTCACATTTAATTGAAAATTAACAAGAAATTACTATGTGCGTATAAACATATCTCTCGCCATGTCAATTGTCAATTATCACAAATCAAAAAGCCTACTAAAAAAACTCGAAGGTCTTCAGCTGGGCAGATAAGAAAAATATATGTTAAAAAACAAGCAAATCGTTAAAAATAAATTATGTAGAGATTAGCACATTAAAGGGGTGATTAAAAATAGCGATCATAAGTTTCGAAAACAACTCTTATGCAACTGAGTGGTGAGTTCGGTACCTAAAGGCACTTTATTATTTGCAATCATACGCAACTGATAATGGCTATGGTGTCAGGGCATCCAAGGGACAGATTCGCCTTTTTCGGGCATTGATTTGTCTTGAGACGCACTAGAAATGAACAAAAATCACATAATTCCTTCAAATATAATCTCAAACTAGAAATTGAAATTTCTATTTCTATATATATATATATATCTTTTCTATGGTATAGTCTAAAGGAAAGACGAGTCGTCATTTTAACTTTCAAACACTGATAATTCTGTACAAATTTTGACCGTGAGCTGTGAACACTATTACTGGTTAGCTTAGATAAAAATTCTCGTTTCGGAAACTAAGGTACGATTAGTCAAACGGATGGCGATTAAGATTGTTTTTGTGTATTCGTATAATACTCTTTCTTTTATTATGAAAGATGTTTGTTTTAATAATAGTATTCTGCGACCAAAAATGATACATACATTTTAGTAGTGACGAGATTACGACTAAATCTCAGCATATAATAAATAATAATAAAAAAAACCCTTAAGAATTAACCCTACCGAAACATCAAAACATGATGATTAGAAGTAATGAACCTTGTTCTTCAAACTGAATTTAATTATTTCATGCATAAAAATACATAGTTCTAAAGAAAATTATATGTATTAATACTTTATATTTAATACTGGTTATAATTGCTAACTTAACGTTTGGGACGTGGGTTACTTTCTCCTTCAAGCTATCAAAAATCTTTTTTTGCACTTCAAATGCTAGATTTCATCATGCAAACAAAATTCGGAATAGAAACACATTTCTGGCTTCAGGTGCGTAGCCAAATTGTAATCGTGCGATCGCTGTTTTAAATTACACAGATCAGTTTACAGTGTTAAGGGGAGTATGAGATAGCTGAGCTTGAGTCAATGGAATGACGAGTTGGTGGAGTAGAGGTTCTAAATTTTCTTAAGGAGCCTCCCATGACCACGGCTCTACAGTATTGCCAATCCCGCCCCCTGTACGGTATTGTCATTTTGTTTCACGCTGCCGAAATTAAAAACGAACTTGACTGGCGAATGTTTTTTAATATCACCGTGAAAATGGAAATAAAAAATTGGTAGACCCGGCTCTACTACTACTCAGTGTAACGTCCCATGACGACAGATTAAAGTAGACTATTATCAATAAATAAAACGGGAATTACGTGACTTGTTTAAGGTAGGATGAAATACGTCACCTTGTCGAAGACCATCTTAGACAGAAAAATTGTAATTTATGATCTCCAATTTCAGTACTTTACAATAAAATAAATCTTTGTTGAATGGATTCCATTTTATTTAAACATTTAGAAAGTTTTTCTATGTTCAGTATCCGCAATTCCGTCAGTAGAATAATTGCCTGTCGTTACGTATAATGATAGCTTTCAGTAGAAACTATATATTATGCTTGACGTCCATATGTGGATTTCCGACTGTATGCAGCTATAAATAAAGGTAGACAAAACAAAGTTTGTCTCTTTATACTTCATTGTATTGACAGTTTGGTGTTAAACGGTGTTTTTTGTTTTTGTTTACGGCATTATAGGCTATAAATGGTCAACGAACTTTATGTCATCATGTAGGTGATATTTTTTACACAGGCGATCAATTTTGATCGTAAGATTTTTCTTTTTTCACAGTTGATATGAAAACAATGGTGAAAAAACGAGTCAATGATGAAATAACTTAACAATAATGAAATAAATTATCAATAATGAAATAAATTATCAATAATGAAATAAAGCAGGAATGATGAAATAACGTAGCAATGATGAAATAACGTAGCAATAATGAAATAACGTATAGCAATAATGAAATAACGTAGCAATGATGAAATAACGTAGCAATGATGAAATAACGTAGCAATAATGAAGCAACGCAACAATGATGAAATAACTCAGCAGTGATGAAATAACGTAGCAAGAACGGATCAATGATAAAATAACGCAACAAAGATGGACTTAAATGATGAAATTGAATGAAGTGACCATGATGAAATAGATAAATCTTTCGTTTCGTTTGTTATTAGGTTTTATTTTTAATGTAACCACTACAGGTAGGACCTTACGATGGCGGTCTTGTATATTCATCTCATATAACCTGAGCTAACCCACCAAATTCTTGCGCTTGGATATTGTGACTCGAACAAAATTTGTATTCCCAGAAGCATAAGATTAGTTTATCAAGTCCATTAGAATTGAAATTAGAACACTCTTTTTTATTGGACGTTCTGAATTAAATGTGATCGTTTTTGTTGTAGATGAAAATTTCAATGAAAACGGGCAACGTCTTTCAGAATAGAGCTTGCTCAGCAGAATTTTTGGACTGACACAGAACTATAAATAGTAACATGGACGACTAATCAAATCAAAGTCATTCTCTGTCACATGACACATTATAACTTCACAAAATGGCGAAAAATAAGCGTAAAAATACCGATTGGAGATTTTCTGTCTCCACCTGCACCCACAACCGTCGGCGAAACTCATGACAAGACTCTAAGTCGGCGACAGAAATCGACGACAAAACTCGTCCTTGTGCCCCCAGCTTAGGACACTCTAAGTACATTGAACTTCCGTGTTTCTTGAATTTTCTGTCGTGAGCATGCGACATCAGAAACAATCTAGACGTGTGAGATATTTTGATCACACTCTTGTTAAACCCCCTCGTGTTTTTCTCCTGTAGATATCAGACAATAATGATCATCATATTGTTCATAATGATGCCACAAAATATCACTTAATAAATCACCAACAGATGGCACGAGTCTAGCACTAATTTAATTTCACTATCTAGGGACTCACTGAATTATCATAATAATTTGTCTCAGTCTTCATTATGTATGAAAATTTTCATTACTATCAAAAATATTTCTTCGTCAAATACGTTACCTTCAAGGTCGACGAGTCGTCATTTTAAAATTCAACCGCGGATAATTCTGGACACACATGGAATTGAAGGCTCAAATTTCGACGGTGAGCTGTGAACACTATTACTGATTAGCTTAGCTAAAAAATTCCCGTTTCTAAGACTTAAGTGTGATTGGTAAAAAAAATGGCGCACTTGTCCCTTTAACGATATGGATTCCGTTTCCTATGTTTTGAACATGTTTGCATTTAAGACAATGGTATGCTGACAGTGTATGCTGGGTAGAGCACCATTGATCTAACGGTTTGATTTTGGCACAGTGTCGGTTAGCTGTTTTAGCAGAGAATTCCTTTATGCATCTTTGCATCAGTAAGCACTGCAGTAAATAGGCTCTTCTGGAACTTTTTGCAGGAACGCCAAAACTAACCAGATCAAGTACATTTTACGATTTATTTGGTTACATTGATTATTTGTAGGTAGTTTTTGTCTTTTGAACCCAAACTTGTTTCAAATTGTCGCAAATGATAGTATAAGATCTGTACCACATTGAGATATTGAAGACCGTCAACGCTATTTGCTTCATTTTTGAAGAATTTACCTTACGTTTTTTAATTCCCAACTGATAATTGACAGATCACATTGTTTGGTTTTCGAAAAAAAACCTAGGAAGGGATCTCCTTATTCCAACAAAGGATTGCATTATTTCTTTTTGAATCACCAGTACTAATGCCTAGAGGGAATATTATTTCTAAACAAGTATGATGCTTGGAGCAAATATCATATAAATTAGCTAAATTATACAGTAGGATTGCAGAATAACTAAGGTCATAATTTCTCGCCATTGTCAGTGGGCCTTGTTTGTACACTGACATCGTTAGCTTTTGATTTTTTTTCTTTGATCATTGCTAGCCGATAGAAATGAAATGAAATGAATGGAGTTTTACGTCCTACATTTCTGCGCCATAGTAATGCAGACGGGCAACGCCATTCCGACTGTCCGGGGATCTTTGACGTGCACACCTGTAACACGCGGGGCCTCGGTTTATTGTTCCATCGACTAGACACTTTTTCCTTATCAGCGCCTTTTACCCGCATCACCGACGGGTCAAATACGAAAATAAATTTGGTTCTTAAAAGAGAAAACAACACCTACTTCACAATTTCAATCTATTTCGAACTCGTCTAATACCTTGACATTACTTGGGACGTTTTTGTATCACGGAAGTTTGTAAATGTAACGATTTGATTGAATTTCTATTCTACGCCAGCTAATTAGCCAATCAGAGCCCTTCACCAGTAGTTATATAGGCAACCTCAGCTTTTGTATCGAGAACTCGGGTTGGCTGTATTTTCTTGGGTACAATCTAAATAAAGGGAAATTTTGTTTTACATATTGGTTTACATATATTTTGTAATTTTTTGAGAAATTTATTCAGTTTGTTGATTTATAGTTTCAGAAACGAGTTGTAACATGCATAATTATTACAATAATCTTTCTGAACTTATCTTTTTCGTTAAATGGACAGATTCGCCACCTGTTTGAACACTCAGAAACGGGAATCTTTAAGCTAATCAGTAACAGTGTTCACAGGTGACCGTCGAAATTTTAGCCTTCAAATCCATGTGTCTCCAGAGTTATCTGTATTTGAATATTAAAATGACGACTCGTCATTTCTTTAGGAAAAGATATATAGAAATAGTATGATAAATTCCTAAATTTAGGTATTTTTGAATGCAATGTGTGATTTTCGTTTATTTCTAGTACATCTGAAGACTATTTGATTACATTCAAGAATTAAATCAACTCCCGAAAATGGCGCATATGCCCCTTTAAAAGTATCATGAATTTCCATTTTTAAAAATATTAACCTTAACATACAGAACACTGTTTTAACCTTGTTCCAGTGCCTTCCGTTGAAAAGTATTTTTCCTCCAAAACACCCTGATTTCTATTTTTTGTATACCTTTTAATCGAATGTTCTTAGATGTTAATAGGAACCTAGGGACTAAAACTCATCCGACGATAGACACGACTCATTACACAATATAGTTCTAATTGAAATGTCGGAAGGTATTCTATTTAATGAAAAAAGCAATGAAATACGTGACTTTTAAAGCATAAAATGATATAGTTGTATATCGAAGCGGGGCTTTATGTCGCTTTTAGTGTAACAGTGTAGGCTTGGTAATATAACCTGCGAAAACTAGATTTTGGAGACAAAAGTGTTTGACTTTTCGAAATGTGAAGGCGTATATGATTAACGTAAGCCTTTTAAATATAGTAACGGCTTGCTAAGTATTAACTGCAAGATACCTTAATTCAAATTTTCAAATAAGGGGCACATTTTCCAGATTTTGGTTTATAGATTCATTAATTCAAAATTTCCAAACGTACCGAAAAAAAACCCAGAATGGTCCTTATGGTGCGCGCTTCCGCGACAAGATTATCTCGTTGCCGACATGATTTATCATATCAATATTGTATATATATATACATTTGTGTCCGATTATTTTATCGTCTTCAAGACAGAGCGTCATCATCCAATCAGATTAATGACTCTTAACAAGACTCTATTCGGTGACAAAAATCGCTGTGTGCCCGCACCATTAACATGAGAAAAATTCATATTCGTTCCTCTCCGAGGTCTATTGTAAAAATAGTCCATATTACGCAGTAGTTGTTTTGTATGTTTGCCAAAATCATATCAGAATGAAAATGATGTTCCCGGATATCGCAAGTGAAAATAGGATTGGATACCAGACATGTTCTTGGGTAGTATGGAGCACAAAATACTGCAAATAAATCTTGGAGTACTCAGAGAATAATGTCAACCGAGGTCGTGTATCGTGCAGTCATTTATTATTCTTAGCCCCTAAAACCTCAAATTTCAAATGTACAGAAAAGTGCAAATATCTCCACTTGGGAAATGTCCTTGTGGCACACGAAACTACGCATGGTTCTTATTTGCAATACGCAAAATTTGAATATCTACCTCGACTTAACAAATCCAATTTTGAAAAAGGCTATAATGTTCCAACAAAGCCTAAGAATCATATGTAAAGCCATTTCTAAAACTTTAATTGTTATTTGAAGGCTTTGTTGAAATATTATAGCCTTTTTCAAAATTCGACTCAAATGACTGTTAACTAGGCCTACTTTCGTGTGTATTATTTCCATGTGAGAACCATAAGTAGTTTCGTATGATCCCTGTGGTTGAAAACCTACGAAGATATTGACCGGAAGATGGTAAAAACATCTATTTCACTGGTGTATAATAGACTGTTTTGATACGTTAAAGATGGTATTTAAGACCGGACGGCCTGTGTTATCACATGATTAAGGTTATTATGGTGCAATTAATCGTAATAGGTCACCAAAATTAACCCATTCTCTCTAACATACTGATAATTAATTTCAATTGATCAATTACAAATTATCAACTTGAAGAATATTCTGACTGTGTGATAACAACCAATCTAAAAATAGCAACTGTAGCATAGTTTTTGGAAGATGATGACGTCATGTAGTACTAGTTCGGAAAGCAGTCTCTCTTAAATTTCACAATGATCAAAGTATTGCGAACTCTCTCTTATACCTTGACTGCAGTGACCACTTTTGTATCACAAATGCAGCGATTTGATTGGATAATACAGCTAGCGAATACAGCCAACAATGGCCCCCGACAGAAAGTCTGTAAACGGTAAGGTTTATATAATACATACATTCCGTCGGGGACTCTGATTGGCTGTATTCACAAGAGTACAATCCAATCATATTGTTGCATTTGCAAACAGCCATGGTTGCTTTTTCAGTCAAGGTATAAGTTAGACGAAGTTCGTAATAGTAGTGTTTTCGGATGATACTCTAAAAATAAATAATTTATAAAAGAAAGTTTTGAATCACAATTTTCATAAAATTTTATAAATGTATTATTTATTACTATTTGTTTTTAAATTCATAATTGCATTGGCTAATGTTTCATGGTGTGTTTTTGATGAAATGCAATGTATTTTTATAAGCCCACATACGTCTGTCCGTCCGGTAAAATTTTTTGTAGGCACAATTGAAGCTGTAGTTTTTTCTTATCTTGATGAAACTTGGTATGTACATGTATGTATATACTGATTGGAACTCGGTCAAGTTCAAATTTAGTAAAAATCGGATGAACAGTTTCGGAGTTATTGCCCATGACCCAAAACAAACACACCACTAAAGTCTCTGTTATCATATCCGACAGCTGGTAGTTGGCGTATCTTTTGCCTGGCAAGCTGTCTTGAAAGAATTTAGTATATTGAAATTACTAGATGATCGTGCTAAACTCGGTGTTGAATTTTATATTTCAGAAAGCCTTATTCATTGCCAGACTGTTGTCATCGTCCGATAGATTAAAAAACACAAAACCAGAAGGTTCGAATTTAGATTTTTCCGAGTTAGCAAGCATACCATTCAGTAATCAACAAAAACGTTACAGACCACCCATGCAAGGCAGATCCGGTAAGTTCATTGGCCGGCTTTCTATTCATAAAAGGTACAGGCACACGAGCGGTCTTGTGCCTGCACCTTTACATACTCCTTCAAATCCTTAACCAAGATGACAATCCAGAAAAACAATGAAGCGGAGTGGAGTTTTACGTCCTGTGCTCGTGGAAGTGCTAATGAAGGCGGGCAACGCCATGAAGTGTGAGGACAATGAGGATGGAAGAATAAGCCCATTCCTTTTCGATTTCCAATTTCCAGTCTGTAGCACACGGGACCTTCGATTTATCGTCCCATCTGAAAGATTAGAAACTTTCCATTTCGGTCTCTTCGACCTGAATCACTGGTTAAAAAAACTGAATTCATTTCATTATGCACAATAGGAAAGGAAATATCAAAATCAGATAAGAAAGCACACTTCTCGAAGAAATTTTGGTGTTGTGTAGTATTATCATACACCAGAGCGCGGACCTTACTGTAAGCACACTGACGAAGTAATAAAGGGATTTCTTGTAAATGTCCACACACCGAGGGAGCAGATGTTACTCTCTAAGTTTGAAGTACAAATAATCTCGGTATAAGTCGCAGTATGTGTACAAAAAGAGATATACTTAACGGGGACAATTGTCAATGGAAACACAAAGGCACAAGCGTCCCATGGGTCGTCATCGTCTGAGAGCGTTTCCCCAATAAATAACTTTTGAAAAATAGAATTTGTTCTGACACACGTTTTGTATAAAAATAACATTTAGGAAGAATTTTGGGTTTAAACAGTCGAATTAAAATTAGACTTAACTTCCGTTCGTATTTTATTAGTTTCGTTTCAAATGTTTTATTAGCTATTAGCTTTGTACGTAACCACTACAGTAAGGTCTAACACTGTCCTTCTTGTCTTGTCTTTTCGTTCTGTTAACCTTTGCTTGACCACTGTTTTAACCAATCACTTGGCTGCTCTTTCCAGCGACGGGATAATGTGACGCGAATAATACGTGAATTCCGAGGCGTATTAGACTATCAGATATTAGACTCGCCCTTTTCGGCTTGCTCATTCTGAAATCAGGAATCATCACTCGAGCTCTTGTTCTAAAGATTGACTACATAAATGCCGTAGGACGTTCGTCTTACTAACGTCAAAACGGTTCACATTGCCTGGTGATGGCACGTTTCTTAAAGAACTGAAGGCGAAAGAGGTTCTTGACTGTGTTTCATCTCTCCTTCAAACTAATTAGGGTAAGTAACACAATGAGCTCATAACAAGAACATAAATAGTCAGACATACTTATCATGTCGCCTTTCCTACAATTTATATTTTTTAGAAAAAATTATAATCTAAAATACGTAAATTGTAATATGAAATACGTAGAGGTATATAAAGTATGATTTTTGAAATACGTTAATTGTAATTTAAATTACGTAGAGGTATGTAAATTATAATTTTTGAAATACGTAAATTGTAATATAAAATACGTAGAGGTATATAAAGTATGATTTTTGAAATACGTTAATTGTAATTTAAATTACGTAGAGGTATGTAAATTATAATTTTTGAAATACGTAAATTGTATTATAAAATACGTAGAGGTATTTAAAGTATGATTTTTGAAATACGTTAATTGTAATTTAAAATACGTAGAGGTATGTAAATTATAATGTTTGAAATACGTAAATTGTAATATAAAATACGTAGAGGTATGTAAACTATAATTTTTGAAATACGTTAATTGTAATATAAAATACGTAGAGGTATGTAAATTATAATGTTTGAAATACGTAAATTGTAATATAAAATACGTAGAGGTATGTAAATTATAATTTTTGAAATACGTAAATTGTAATATAAAATACGTAGAGGTATGTAAATTATAATTTTTGAAATGCGTAAATTGTAATTTAAAATAAGTAGAAGTATGTAAATTTTTTTTGGAAATAAGTAAATTAAAAAAACGACAAATAAACTACGTAGAAATATTAAATTGCAATTTGAAAAACGTAAATTATAGTTTGAAAAATGTAAAATCATAAGTGAGTGATTTATATGGACTTTTTCAGATATCAAAAAAAAATTATTTATCAAAACTATAACTAGATTCATTCCTTATATTTAGGCCTGCCTTGATCTACCTTTATCAATATTTTTTTTATAATTTAAAATATCAAAATTTGATATTGTTTCAATTCACCTGTACCTGTCAATCATTAAGTGGGCGTGTCATAAATTTTTCAGCGTGTTTGGGTCAGAAGGATATCAGGTATTGTTAAATATGTAAGCGTGAGCGTTGTTAATCGAAGCTATAAACTAATGAGGGAAAAGACCAAAAGAGAGTATGAAATAGAAGAATGTATGTAATCATTGTGATACAAAAGACATTATCCCCATAAGTTAAATTAATGAAATTCAGAATGTCGTAAAGATTTCTATCAATTTTTAATTGAAATTTCGTGAGCAATTAACATTAACGTAAATGACATCAACAATTTAACCATAGGAAATCTTCACATGTTTATAAAAGACAATCTGGTCAATTACTCATACCCGGAAGTACTCACCGAGCATGTCACGTCAATACTTCCGGTTAACTGATATACGCGCTGAATTACTGTGGTAACCCACTGATAGTCACTGGAAGTAAATAGCTACTGGTACTAATGAATACTGAATTATTAATGATGTATTAAGTGATGCGGATTGATCAAGACATAAACATGACACAATGGCCAATAACCGAGCAGTCTATTTTAAATATCGACACTTAAATTTCAATAAAATAGTTTTACTTCACCACTTCTAGTTAACAGACAATATTAATAGTCCCAGACTGCCTGTGGCTGGGATATCTGATCCAGGCCCGTTGCTACATGGGAGCAATTCCTTTCCTGTAACTAAACACCATACATTACCCTCGCCGGATATATTACTTGCCCCGCCAAACAATCAAGTTTGGTCTGGCCTGATCTGATCTAAGCCTGGACGCTTCGAGAAATGAAAATGAAATGAAATAGAGTTTTTCGTCCTACTTTTTTCTGGACTTTTTGGGCTAATGCAGGCAATCTAGAAACGATACGGAAAAAGCATCCATTTGTTCGGAATATTAACCGAGGGCCCGTGTGCTATAATATGGACATAAAAGAGCCCAAAAAGACAGTTTGAACTCGAAAATGAGTGAGTCAATGCCAAATGCGGTATCAGGTGCAGAAAAGTACGACGTAAATAATTCATTTTCGTCTCTAGTTCAAATTCCTCCAGGAAATGCCCCCCCCCCCCCCCCGGCCACCCCATTTCTCTCTTAAGTACCTTGACAATCCCGCCAAGGACAATACACTACGTTTTATCTTATGTTACAAATATTTTTTATGAATAGTAGGAAATTTGCATCTCTTATAAACTTGATCTACAAATTTAAAAGCGTAATTAGTTTACTGAAGGACTTTCCATTTTTAAACCAAACGCCTACTAATTAATGTTAACGGGCTTTTTCAATTCAATTCAATTCCAACTTCTACCATTCAAAAAGCATTAGGGATTCATCTAATTATAGACAATGCGTTAGCACGATTTTATATTGAAACGTGGTTCAGGAAGTAAATTTTTAAACAATTAGATACATTTAAGTTGTTGTTATGTTCGGCTATGTTGGCTAAAGTGGAAGTCCTTGGACGGTATATATTCACAATATCAAGCTATTATGTACTTCGTCATATACCTTGACTGTTATAGCCACCTTTCTTGTGTCATAGAAGTTTGTAAATGCAGCTATTTGATTGGATGATACTCTACCAATAGTCATATAAAGTCTTTCTGTCAAGAAAGTTGGCTGTTTTCGCTTGCCCAAAGTTGTCAAAGTATAAGAAAAGGTTCGTAATAGCTTGACATTGTGAAGATGTGGACAGCATAGTGCCATCATTTTTCTTGTGTCTGGTCTGTTTTTTGTTGTTAGATTTTTAACCAAATGGATCTAAGATGGCCGACAGCAACTGCTTTCAGTTTTATTTTTAAAAACTTTAATAAAAGTTTTTATTACTAAAATCGGTTAAAAGCCTTTGAATATTTTCATTGTGTGGGCAAGGTAAAATCAAGTTATTATTGCAAGTAATGGATGCCTCCTGGCATTTTTTCATCCCATTACATTGAATTCAATCTAAAACAATGTTTCTCTTTTTCATTAAGCCACCTATTGTTCCCGAGCCGATAAAAGTCGAGTTGGCTTTTTTTAGCGGTCCAATATTTGCGTGGATTAAAGCGTATATTATTGTAACCTTAATAGGAAAATTGTTAAAATACTGTTTAATACGACTTTATTTGCACGCTATCGATATTAGGTATATCAGTGTCGTCTCGTGCAGGTTAAAGTGGTACATAATATTCAATTTCTTCGATTACCAGCTGACCTGGTATTTTTTTAAGGGGGGAGAGGGGGGGGGAGGGTGGTGCTAAGCTAAACCTTCGGATTGGCAAAATCTATGATTAACTGCATATCTAAAGGTAAACTAGTTAAGGTGAACTTTTCAAACTTGGTTAAAATTTGTCTTTGTTCGTCAGTGAACTTACCTGTGTCATAACTGTACAACAGAATCCCTCTATAATCCAATAAATCCATACAACTTTGTAATAATTCCTGAAGCTAAGTAATTTTGAAACTGACTTATAAGTGTGTTTCAATAATTACTCAGTTTAATGAATATATTTAAATATAATGTAAATATAGATGTCTTATATAGAGATACTATTCTTTAGTCATGGCACTTGTTAAGTCCAACTGATGAATATAATATACTCCAGTTGACCAAGTTTGAGAATATGCCCATTTTAATAAGTAGTATCCTTTTAACGGCTTTTAAATCGTTAAGGTGCCCTGGCTGACTGTATCCAACGATTGAACAATTTTTCCAAAATGCTCAAAATTGCTATCAGTGGCTCAGCTAGGTGATCTCTATCAGTCAATAATAATTTACTTTGCTCTCAGATTTTACATGAGCCCCTTATACCCCCCCCCTCCCCCCACTCCTCTTCGCGACCTTCCCTCCCCATAATAACTACGATGACATTTGTGACCAATCTTGATCAATTTTTTAATCATACTATCTTTAAGCTATTTGTGATTAACAAAAACTTGGTACGATTTTAAAGCGACTCGGTATTTTCCAAGATATATTGCGTTAAAGTCAGTATTCATATCGATAGTATGTTTTTGTTAAATAGTAGTGAAACAAAGATGAAAAATGATCCGGAAAGCTAAGAATTGGCTCATCCGAATGGTAAAGAAGGCTGTCATTAGACCCTAACTGAAGTGGATATATAAGAATTAAAAGATAATAAAAACGGAACTATATCACCTTTGTTGTTACTATTGTTATAATTATCTTCATTATCATTATCATCATTATTATTATTATCATTATTATCTTATTATCATTATCATCTTTTCAGGTGGAATGTCATTATGTTTATGGAAAGTTTGTCCAGCAGCACCATGGTTAGTGTCCAAACGATCTGAGAAGACATGGGACAAGAACAACATGCTAGGAAAATAAATTATCCATTATCATATATAACTCTACTGGACAAATCTTAATACAATATCAGAACAATAAATAGGTTTTATTCCAGCTGTAAAAAAACAAAGTCCGTGAAGCGTTGAGTTTGTAAGGATTTGCTTTTAATAAATGCATTATTTAGAAATATTAAGTCGTTTATATTCAATTTAGTCTATCATATTTAGTTAAGTCTATTATATTTAGTATAATTTATCAAATTTAGTATTCAGAATTGCCTTTAATGATACAATGACCTGTTTATATGCACGTTTTCCCAAAGAAATGTTCTTCTCGGCCTGTGCTTTTGTAATTTCAATCATATACTGTTTTTACAAACCCCCAAAGAAATATACACTATTTACAAAAACAAAACGATAAACGGTAAACGAATGCATATAAATAGGTTTACGGAACAAAAAGTTTATTTTTATTCAAATACTAATTGTTATGAAACGAGTCCATGGATTTTATCTGTCGAGCATTTATAGGTGATAACATGTCAGATTATTGTGTTCTTGGCAGGGATATGTAAAGTACATAGCGGAGAATACAAAATGAAACTCGCGTAAAAGTTATTGTTCATTGGAAAAGGGTCTTTTAAACTATGATACAGCACCTTGGGCAGAATTTTACGTGTATGTCTCATTCAGACAGATGAATGTCCATAGATATACAAAACATACTCTCATATCCTACATAATGTTAGAAACTTGAAAAACAATGGCTTCGAGGAAATAATTTTTCATGGAATTTAATGTTTTAAGTATATTTTGATAAAAGAAAATCAATTTTTCTTAAAGATTTGTTAATGGAGCCTTTATTTAGAATTTGTAAATACGTCAAATTAAATTATCATCAAGAATTAAATCGTCTTATTAATCAATACATTTAGAGAAATTTATATAGAGGCGATGTGACGAATTATGTTCTGTACATAATTTAGGAATAAACAATTGAATATAGGCTCCTTGACACCAACAACATGCCTTTTCCCTGAGAGTGTCTCATAAAAAGACGACTTTTTAACTTTCAAATGCGGATAACTCTGGACATACATGGATTTGAAGGCTCAAATTTCGACGGTGAACTGTGAACACTATTATTGATTAGCTTAGCTTCAAAACTTCCAGTTTCTGAGATTAAAGTACGATTGGTCAAAAAATGGGGCACCTGTCCCTTTAAATAAAAAATGAGAGAAGTTTCGTAAAGTACATTGGTTTAAGGGGGAATGATGGGAGAATTAAGAAAATCGCGTTATATTTATATAGGGGAAATGGTGAGAAATGGTGCAATTCAATGAAGTCGAAAATCGAGAGAAATGACGTGAATGACTTTGAATGAAAGTGGAGAATCTAGAAAAAAAAGGAGAAATTACGATAATAAGAAAAATAGTTAAAGAACGGTGGGAATTGAAGAAGAATCACAATTGAATTTTTGGGGAAATAGAGAAAAATGACGCGAATGTCAGTGAGAAATGTCGTATACATACATTGACATTTACATATCAAGAGAAAATACATTTTTTTTTCACGTTACCAGGCTTCAAAGTAAACATTTCAAAATATCTCGAGGGAATTCACAGAGAGTCACAATTGAATTTATGGGGAAATAGAGAGAAATGACACGAACCTCAGAAAGAAATTTCGTATAAACAAATCAAGAGAAAATACATTTTTTTTTCACGTTACCAGGCTTCATAGTAAACATTTCAAAATACCTCTTGGGAATTCACAGAGAGTCACAATTGAATTTATGGGGAAATAGAGAGAAATGATACGAATCTCAGAAAGAATGGTCGTATACATACATTGACATTTACATATCTGAAGAAAATATTTTTTTTTTCACGTTACTACATAGTCAACCACCATTTCGAAATATCTAGGGTAAATTGACCGAGAATCACAGGTGTATTTTGGGAGAAATAGCGAGAAATGATCATAGATAAAAATAGATTGACATATCACGAGAAACTGCATTTTACTCTGCATTGTAATTTTCGAAATCTTCAATATAGCGATAATAGCAAGGGTCATTAAATGTCAGTGTATCCTTAAAAGGGGACATCCCATGATAATTTAATCTTGTTCAAATAAGAGTACAATTTCGTTTCTTTTTTCTACCGCGGTTCCGTTCTAATGATAATATTGTAGATCTTATTTCTTTATAACATTACTAATAATGGGATAGCAAAACCCAAATGGGGGATATGACAACCTCATTTGGGTTTCGCTCTCCCACAATTCGTCATTGTTTTCAAAAAAAAGTTTAATATGACACGAATTGATTGGATAAATACATCGTCGCGATAACGGGGTTGTAGAAATCTATTACAATGTAGACGAAAATTATCACAAAACAAATCAGAGATGGCATAACGTTATCTAACCTAGAACTCATCTTCACAATGTTAAGATATTAGTAACTCCGACTAATACTTTGACATCATCACTTCGTTTTAAAATCGTGCCACACCCGTCTGCTTTTAATTAACGATATATCTCTGATGAAGATAGCCAATGAAAAGCCTTTTTAGAAAGCACAATGGTGCCTACAAGTAATAGCACACGCGCACAGTCATATTGTTAATAGTGTTTCTGTCGCAGGATGTTATAGGCTGTATTCGATAACGTACAATCCAATCAAATCGCTACAACTACCGTAATACAATAAAATGATGTCAAGGTAATGGGCGGATTTCGTAAAACCTTGACATTGTGCATATGTATTATGTATCAGACTATACTACCGTACTCGATGGTAAACATGTTTTCAGAGAATTTTATTATCTTTCGTCAATGAAATGTTCATGATGAACTGCAGAATTTGTACAAGTCATTAGTTTTACGATATCATTCTAAGACTTGCATGATCAGACAAAGATAAAATGCACTCAACTGCTTACTCGTTATACGATTAATATAATCGTCTAATTGTTCTATTTTTTCAAACCTGTTGATTTGTTAACAATAGCAGAAGAAAACTAATATAATGAAATCACTTAATTAAATTGCTGCTCATTTTATTCCTCTGTACTCTTATAGACTAATCCTAAACGGAAGTCAGATCACTGTCCAGAATGGATATTGGAAAAGGGATTCGCCTACAATTAAGTATAAACTAATAAATTCTTTCACAACAGACCGTTAACTCTGCACCAACCAAGGGTAGGCAACTCTTAAAATGTTAACTGATAAACGTAAATTATTTGTTATTTCAATCTGAACATAAAATACATACTACAGAAGATGTTCGAGACTCATAGTTCATTTACTATCAAAGATGGATTGGTACATACAATGTTTATGGAAACCACTGAACGCCACCAACCGGCAAACAAATATTTGGGATGATATCATTGACACTACCGACCAAAACTCTGGAATTTTGAGGAATAATTTCTTGAGTCCACCAGGCCCATGACCAGACTTGATTGTTCGGAGGGGCAAGTAATAAATCCAGAGGGGCAATGGGCAATTCATTTTTTTCGGCAGGACATTACAACCCCAACCGGCAACCTTTGCCCTCCTGAAGCTACGGTTCCATCTAGACCATGCAGCAGAACAAAACGTGATATTTATTCATTTCGTCACATTGAAAACATCTTTAATTCCATAATAGTGATGTCATCAATTGTTCTTTTAAAAAACTATTGACTTTTTCTACTTCCGATAGACAGACGACGCGATAATAGGGCGCACTTTTTCTTAATATACCCAAATTGTTCACACCATCACACTCGAGTGCCGGGTTGAATATTATAAATGATCGTACTTCACAAAAGTCCTCACCATCATTGACAAAAAATATTTCACCTTTCAATAAATAATATGGAACCCAAATACATTATCACAATGCGTCTTATACCTTGGCATCATTAAGCACTTTTCATTGATTGTGCTTTCTAAGAAGGAATATTATGGTTGGCTATATACATGTATTCAATCCTCACAAGAGAGATAAATCGTATATTCAAAGCTTAACAGGTTCGTACGACTTTCAAACTTTCTAGGACATTGCCTAAATGTCAAGGTATTAGACTGAGCTTGTAATAACTGTGTGAATAAGACATTGTGAAGATGCATGCGGTCATTAACCACGACTTCACGTCTCAGCCTTTGCTGGCCTCTTTCAATTGTTTCAATTTAATGGAGCATTTATCAGTATCACACGTCTTCAAAGCTCGTTCTAGACGATACTTGGCAAATTTGATGTATAGTTTGTCACAGTATGGAGCTATGGTCGGCCGTCTTGAAAAATCGGCTAACCATTTTAACCCAACAACTTCATACATCTTTCTAATTGCATCGGCTTTGACGTAAACCTGAAAATAAGAGTAGATTGTAATATTGCATAACCCAGCATCAGTAAATTTGGGATCCCCCTTCCCCTCAAAAAGCAATATAGGCGATTACGTCTAAGACTGTTCTTAAGTCTGTGTGGGGTGCTAAAGGGATTGTAAAAGGGTTTTCAAAATTTGTATCGGGGTGCAATTAATTAATTGCAATCCAGTCAGTTACTGACCCTATGTCCACGAATGAAAATGTTTACTGTGTTATAATCGGTTTACCTTATCATTGGAGATGACGTGCATTTCTTTCATAGCCTGTTCGTACGTAACACCGTGATACAGTTCGGGTTTATAATCCGCTTTAGTAATATCCACATAATCTACATATTGACGACTTGGTAACCTTTTTAAAAGTGAAATTTCAACTTGGCATATCGAACACTCACCGTCATATAGTATCTGAAACATGAGAAAACTTTAACCTGATATCTATCCAATTCGACTGCTAGAGATTCAAAGAATTTTATAGCTTCCGTAACAAATGAATAGAGAAAACCTCTAAAGTGGTATCGATGTCGGTGGTGCGCCGTGGTCATACTGAATCCAGCGATTTCTCCGATTCTCTCATTTTCCACCTATGTTATAATTCATTGACTCCTTTGGCAACCTAAAACTCATCCACAGTTTAATATCGTGTTAGATTGACTCCACAAATCAAAATTTCTTTCACAATGCATGTATCTACATGGCCAGTGCTTTCGAGGGTCGGCCTGGGAGATTTCACCACCGTCGAACCCCGTTTGTTCAATAAAAGATCAGATAAAGTAAAGACGTAAAATCATGACCACACTTTATTCAATGGATTCGAATGCTGCACTGTGTATCCAACACAAAATGGTTACTGTGTTCTATAAATAGAACAGTTTTATAACAAAGCTATATATTATTTACCTTAGAAGTTTTACTGTCGCTTTTTGGTAATGGAATCTGCTTGGAATAGTATCTTAGTTGTAAAACGTTACTGCCCCGAAAACGATACCTCGGACATACACGTAACAATGCCTGAATCGTAGACATTGTGTGATCTTCTGTACGGTTGATACAAGACTAACAAATTTATATAACTCTACTTTTACTTTTTAGCTTTCTGTTGTTTCGTGGTTATCCAGTTTCATAGTCTTTGTCACCAAGACTGTTTTTTTTAGCGAGATTAGTTTTTTTAGTAGGCATATATTCTACTTTATGAAGCATTGGTTAAAGTGTAAAATTTGACTTATCATTTTGGTAACCCCTTTTATTCTGCTAGGCATGAAAATAGTGATGCCGCTTAACAACGGCGTACAACGTTTAGATTGTCATAAATGTCGCACATTATTGCTGGGAAATAATGACGCAATGACGCACATGACAGGATTTCTGGAGACCATTGGTGGCGGGTGTAAAGCCCAAGAAAAAAAATAAACGAAACCTTTTAAGATTGCTTAAAACTTAAAAATAATACAAGCTTATTCAATGCGTCAAAAGCGCAATAATCAGCAATAAATAAATTCCAATAATTAAGATACATTTATTATAAATTATTTCTGCAATTTCTGCAATTTATATAATATATCCATTCCACAAAGACCAGCGATAAATAAATTCAAATAATTTAGACACATTTATTATATTTATAATATAATAAACTCCATAATAAATACTTTTATTTCTGCAATTTATATAATATATCCATTCCACAAAGGCCAGCGGAAAAAAAATTCAAATAATTTAGACACATTTATTATAAATTATAATATGATAAACTCCATAATAAATACTTCTATTTCTGCAATTTATATAATATATCTATTCCACAAAGGCCAGCCATTTAATAATTCAAATAATATAGACACATTTATTATAAATTATAATATAATAAACTCTTTACTACATACTTTTATTTCTGCAATTTATATAATATATCTATTCCACAATGGCCAGCAATAAATAAATTCAAATAATATAGACACATTTATTATAAATCATAATATAATAAACTCCATAATAAATACTTTTATTTCTGCAATTTATATAATATATCTATTCCACAAAGGCCAGCAATAAATAAATTCAAGTAATATAGACACATTTATTATAAATTATAATATAATAAACTCCATAATAAATACTTTTATTTCTGCAATTTATATAATATATCTACGGAAGCGTATTAGGTCCATTCAATTTTTTTTTTAATTTTCAAGTTAGTATGTTGAATTTTCAAGTTAGTAACTTGAATTTTCAAGTTAGTAACTTGAATTTTCAAGTTAGTAACTTGAATTTTCAAGCTAGTATGTTGAATTTTCAAGTTAGTATGTTGAATTTAGTATGTTGAATTTTCAAGTTAGTATGTTGAATTTTCAAGTTAGTATGTTGAATTTTCAAGTTAGTATGTTGAATTTTCAAGTTAGTATGTTGAATTTTCAAGTTAGTATGTTGAATTTTCAAGTTAGTAACTTGAATTTTCAAGTTAGTAACTTGAATTTTCAAGTTAGTATGTTGAATTTTCAAGTTAGTATGTTGAATTTTCAAGTTAGTATCTTGAATTTTCAAGTTAGTATCTTGAATTTTCAAGTTAGTATCTTGAATTTTCAAGTTAGTATCTTGAATTTTCAAGTTAGTATCTTGAATTTAGTAACTTGAATTTTCAAGTTAGTATGTTGAATTTTCAAGTTAGTAACTTGAATTCTCAAGTTAGTAACTTGAATTCTCAAGTTAGTAACTTGAATTTTCAAGTTAGTATGTTGAATTTTCAAGTTTGTATCTTGAATTTTCAAGTTAGTATCTCGAATTTTCAAGTTACTAACTTGAAAATTCAACATACTAACTTGAAAATTCAAAAAAAAAAAAAAAAAAATGAATGGCCCTAATACGCTTCGTATATATCCATTCCACAAAGGCCAGCAATAAATTAATTCAAATAATTTAGATACATTTATTATAAATTATAATATAATACATTCCATAATAAATACTTTTATTTCTACATTTTACATTTTTGCCTCCTTTGGCATCAATTTTATTCTATGGGTATGAAATGAATCTACTCATACTAACATGTTTATAAACCTTAACCAATCGGCTCTATATATAATATCTTTTTTCTAGGTTAATAAAGTTGAATTGCTTAATTTATATTCATTTAAATAGATTTCTCCTATCAGGGACACTGATGACTTCGATTTGCACCATTCCAATTTTCATATGCGAAACCTTTTGTGTCGTCACTAATGCAAAAGCTGCTAACAATATCTAAGAGCCTTTGCGATAGTGACGTCATAAAACACTTATTTTTTAGCAAGTACAGAAAATAAAAATTATGCAAATTGATTTAATCGGTGTTCCCAGTGCATATAATAAGGCCAAAATTTGTCAAAACTCAAGTACCATTTTCACATTGTTAAGCTATTACCAACGCAATTAGCCAACTTTCTTGTATTACGTAAGTTTATAAATGCCGCTAATTGGTTGGATTGTATGTTAGCGGATACAGCCAATCAGAGTCCTCGACAGAAAATCTGTAAACGATAAGTGCGTTTACTATTTGTCTGTCGAGGGCTATGATTGGCTGTATTCGGTGGCGTACAATCCAATCAAATCGATGCACTCCGTGATACAAGAAAGGTGGCTATGAAAGTCAAGGTATAAGACGAAGTTCCCCATTGTGAAGAAGCTCAAGTACTAAACATGTGCGTTTACAAGAGTAAATTATTTCTACCAAAGTCCCCTCTCTTTTAATTGCTTAATATAATGCAATAACATAATGGCCTTCATTCTGTTGGCTCCAATACCGTAATGCGTACCATCAAAACTAAATAAACCTTTTGTCATTCTGAACGTTTCAAAAAAATCCATATTGTAATCCGGAAGAATGTCTTTCATTTTGTTGTTAAAGATGGCCACGTTTTCGTTGGATTGGGAGACATAAATGGGACTTTTCAGCAGGCCCTGGTAATGTTGACCATGCCAAACGATTCTGGGCCATTTGTGATGCTTCATCTCCTTATGTATGCCTTTAACGAAGCTTTCAATAAGATTGAAGTTCAGCCAGTTGTGTAGGCCTATCCCAATCATAGCCATGGATCTTGGTTTGTCAGCCTGGCGTGTAAGATAATCCAAAGCCTTTGGTACATCTTTAGCGAAAAAGACGTATGCCATGGTCAGGTTAGCGGTACCACCACAAACAGCACCGTTGTTTCTGACGTAGTAACGACATTCTATTTCTGTATACATGAAAATACCTTTACACTTGTCTCTGATTGCTGAAAAATAGAATATAATTATAATTCAAAAGCAAGAAACAGCAATACAGCAATTAAAGTAGCCATCCCACGTAGAATTTTGTCGATAAAAGTGAATTTTGTGGCATTATCATTGGTATTTTAAAAAAATGTTTAAAACATCAACATAGTGTACAGATCAGATAGAGAAATGTTAACTTCACATCTTCAGAGGTCTTGACATCTGCAATCGGGGTTAAAAGCACAAACCTGATCATCCGAGTCTACTTCCGTACTAATTCAAATAATGTAGTCGCGGTTATCTACTTATAAATATAAATTTGGTGTTGAATAGAGGTAAATTTGATTCAAAAATAAATGGGGGGGGGGGGGGGGGGAAGAGGCTGTTCATTGGAGGCTGGTGCTGAATACAACTGACCACCAGGCCTATAGCTACAGGGCGGGGGGGGGGGGGCATGTCCATCCCAAAAAAAATTCAGACAACCGACCAATTCCATTAATTTATCTAAACACCATACACCATTGGCCCTCTGACGATTTGTTATTTGCCCCTGGCGACGGGCCTGGTGACCGTTGGTACAAGTTTGACTGTATATATATTGGTAAAAATGAATACTTACATTGTGGGGTACCTTTCTGTAAAGCTCCACCATCATAATTACCAGATAAAAACAACATCATTGCAGTATGAAAATGTCTCATCAGTGAATCACCCATAAATAGAATCTGAGAACCACGAACTATTTCACAAGCTTCTTCAACAGTAAACTCCTTCAATGGACAGTCCTTATTATTGGATTCCCAAGTTCCAAGTTCGGCATGCTTCAGTTCTCTAATATCGTAACAGTCTGGGCATTGACATTCTTGTACTGTTTTATACTGACATGCATTGTTGTAGCAACACGGTTTGGGTCCGATTGGACTACACAGGGCCCTGAAGTAATGCATACCGTCAGCCGACACGTTTCCACATAAGTTATCTTTCCTTGTATGAGTCATAATATTGATTCCATTAATGGACATGAATTTCTCTTGGTCTCGTTTCTGCTTCCATGTGGCTGGTTTTAAGTTCCATTTACCTGTCTGCATCCATTCCAGTACGTTTGGACATTTTCCATAGCCACCATTGTCAAGACCTTTAGCTTTAGATTCAATGACTGTGATGATATTATTGATCGTCTTTGAACGATGTTTGACTGGAAAATGGCTGAAAACAATCAGCACTGCAGCAAATACAAACAGGAACTGGACGCACTTTTTCAAGATTTGTTGGTAACGAAAGTTACAACCGACTGGCTGTGTACATAATGGGGAATCCATTTTTCTGGAAAGAAAATATTTCATAAGATGTGAAAATAGCTTTTAATTGAAAATAGGAAAGCCAAGGAAAAAGTGGGAGATATTGTTTCAAACGTCGGTGCGTTCAGGTCGACTAAATCAAGCAGTTGTTAGCAGTCGTCGAAAAACTTGATGCTCTCAAATTCTTGAAAATTGCTAGTTGTGAGTCCCTCTTTATATGCACTTTTTATTCAAAAAAAACATCCTTGCTTCTTATGCTGATCCGAAAACCTTTGTTAAAGATGGTTTTGAATTATTGCCTTGAGTGGCCTCTTAATACAGTTTCTACTGTACATGTATACAATATTTTTTATAAAGTTAAAGCGACTTACCCCAACTGAAGTTATTGTGATTCTGAATAAATTTTCGATTTTCATTTGATCAATGGTCGTAAATAACAACGTAGCCCAAATTTTGACAACATATGCTTCTCCTTACCCCCTCCTCGCTTTATTATTATGCAATAACTATTAGATTATCCAGACTCTTCTAAAAACATTATGTAAGCTTCGATCATCGAAACTGAATATCTAAGTGAGAAAAAGAACAACCCAGTGTTACCTTTGCTATGATGTTAAGGTGAAATGAGAATAAGCAGAGTTAGTGATAAGGTCAGATAATTTATGGGGAGAGCATGATTTATTTGTTATAACACGGATCAAAAATAAATCAATAAATGCTTTGTTGTCTGATATGGTGTAAACGTAAAAAGAGTTATGTACCTTGTATCAACTGGACTATCGCTACCGAGTATTTTTTATGTAATCCATATATTTCAATTGATTTTTTCTGTAAAAAATATAAGATTGACAAAACCAAACTTCACATTTTTCGTGGTTTTAAATGTAACTGAACCTGGTGAAATTAAAAAAAAAAAGACTGATCAAGTTTAGTCAAATGGGGGAACCGAACTGTGGCTACCTCATTGCAGCAGTGGTTGGCCCAACCAATCTTATCCCCCAACAGAAATGTATTCCCATCCCCCAACAGTAATGAATCCCCCCCTTTCCCCGACTATACAAAATGGGAGTCAGGGCGGCGTCAGTGGCTATAATACAACCATCCAGAATCCCGGATGTTCGTACGAGGTTTGTGAAATGTAATCATTTAACGAAGTAACCACACGACTAAGCCTAACCTGAAAAATAGTGAGAAATTAACTTATAAATACAGAATGTCGATTGTGGTCTGAGGCACAAATAGATAGACAAGTTAAGTATCTGTGTGATAGATGTGGTAGATTAATTACTTAATTATTATACATAATCTTGCTAATTGTGATAATCATGCAAAAGAACATACATATTTTTACAACAAGCTTAAAGGTACAGGTTCGGCATTTTTGGATTTGATTCTTGAATATGTCTTCATAAGTACTAGAAATGTACCAAAATAAAATAGTTCCTTCAAAAATACCCCAAACTAAAAATTTCACTTTCTATTTCTATATATTATGTATTTTTATATGGTCTCAAGAAAAGACGAGTCGTCATTTTAACTTTCAAACGCGTATAATATTGGACACACATAGATTTGAAGGTTCAAATGTCGGTGATGAGTTGCCAACACTAATACTGATAAGCTTAGCTAAAAAGAAAATCCAGAGACGAAGGTACGATTGGTCAAACGTTTGGCGAATCTGTCCCCTTAAAGGATTTATATATAGTTATATGTTTATTTGAATATCCAGAGTTTAAACTGTATCCAGTTTACGGTTGAGCTCTTTAAATTTAATCCGCCAAGATTTGCTGACAATGTTGAAAAACTGTACATATTTCGAAAATTAGTTCTAAATTTCAATATCTCTATATCTAAGAACTGCATTAATGTTCGTATCCCGAAAACGGGTTTTTGATATGGGAATGGGGCGTGGTTTGGACATGATGACAAAATATGTACAAAGTCGAGATGACTTCCCGGAACTTACGAAAAGCTAATAAGATACCGAAGAAGCTGCTGAACAAATACGGAAAAAGATCAGGGTAGCGTCCATAGTTCTTACACTTTCGTGTTAGAATTCAATCGAGTCATAAACTTATTTATAAACGAAGTAACCACTAGACCAAGCCTGACCCACTCTCTACTGAGTTTCTAACAATAATATACTTAATGTATGGGGTTGTGCAATAATTATTGAATATATTGTCCAGACTCTTCTAACAGCAGCAAGCTTCGATCATTAAGACTGGTTTTTTTAAAGTGATATTTTGTACTGCTTAGGTCTCAATATAGGTGTTGTCCAGTTCATAACAGAATGTGAATACACAATATATACGTCGATCAATGACTTTCCAATTCAGCAACGGTTCCAAATATTTTGCAAGAATTAAACCCCGAAATATCAATGGTCTGTGTCTTAAAAATCAGGACTGCGTCAATGAATATAACCTTTCGGTACATTTTTTGTTGCTAAAGCAAATTTTATTATTTTTAAGAACGAAGTATCCATTTGACTAAGCCTGACCCACCAGATCGTGAATATCCAGGTCATTGTATATTAAGGTATATGGGGTTGTGCAATGACTATTCGATTATCCAGATTCTTCTAACAGTATTAAAGAAGCTTCGATCATTAAGTCCAAGTATGTTAACAAATTTTATTATGTTTAAAAATCGAACTATCCATTTGATTAAGCCTGCCTATACAATGATATCTATGTTATCTATACTAGTAGATACGTACAGTGATAGTGCAATACAGATCGTTCGATCGCTTGTCTACGATTTTATGTTGAACTCATTTGAAATAAAGAACGAGTCAACTCCCCTACACCTACAAGTTTTACCTTAAAGAAAGAAAGAAAGAAAGAAAGAAAGAAGAGACAGATGTGCCATTTTGGGTTTGATTTATATTGTATTGAATATATGTAAATAATCTTCAGAAGTACTAGAAATGTACGAAAATCACATAATTCCTTCAAATATATCTCAAACTATGAATTTTCCTCATTATTTCTATATATGTATTTTCTATACATCACAGAGTATCTTAAACTGACAAGTCGTCATTTTAACATTCAAACGCGGATAATTCTCGACACACATGGATTTGAAGGCTCAAATTTCGACGGCGAGCTGTGAACACTATTACTGATGAGCTCAGCTAAAAAGTTCATGAGAATACAGTGTGATTGGTCAAAAAAAATGGCCTACCTTTCCCTGATTGGTGTATTAACGGGGCGAGCTTGATTTAGCAGTGTTCAATTTAGATTGTAAAATTTAATAAGCAATTTGTCAATTTTCAGTATTGGTTAGTAGATATAGAATCGCTTTTATCAAACTTCGGAAGCAATTCAAAATGTTTCCGGTTTCAGAGATCGAGCCAATCGCGTCTAAATTCCAGCTTAGTATAAAATAAACGTTTTAAAAAGGTATGAGTAAGGGAAGGTGGACGAAGGAAAATAAATCAACTAATGCTTTGTTGTCTGATCAGAGTAATATTAACTTGAGTTGTCTACCTATTTCCATCAACAATACTATCTTGTATCGCTTCTAAGTTATTATCATGGAAACATGACTGGTAGGTGACGATATAGGATAACCAAACATTTTTTTTAAAAGAAAGATGCAATGAATTCTTCGCCTGTTGCGACGGGTCTGGGTTGAAGTGGAGACAGGGAAAGTAGACAGCAAGATGCAATGGAAAATATGATGTTTGGTAGAATGGGACAAGAAGACGAAGAAGGTATGACGACACAGGGGATGTAGGCAGAAAGTGTGAAACATGGAGTAGTATGTATACTAAAGGTTAAAGAGACGATGTGGGGATAAGAAGTGGAAAGCGAAGAGAGTGAGGAATTGATAGGGACTATGGGATCTTCTGTTATATTGAGAAGTACTTATTGTACATCCATGCAATGCTTCGAATTACAGTACTCCGAAGACTTATTATGGGCTGTATAACACCATTTTTATACCCGATTGAATATTACTTGTACAAGGTTAAAAAAGTTGGATTTAAAAAAAAAATCACAAGGAGCCACAGTGGTCAAACAATATTGCAGAGAATTCCCTCCCTTAGAGGTAAACGTATATAAAACGTTACTATTTACTATTGTAGACTCTTGATCGATCTCAACAATGGCGTCTGAAATAATTTAATTATTTAAAGGAAATAGTAATATTGTAAGATAATATACCGCTATTTCCAGACGAAACGGTTAATAGTTATTCGTGGATTATAGAGACAATCGATCGTTATCTAAAGTTACTGGATTTGGCAAAAAATTATCCTGAAAAATATACAATTTGATTTGAATCGCACGTCAACGTGAAAAATTTAATTTTGGCTAATCGTAATAAATATTAGATCGGTTATTTTTGTGTAACAGGGACAGAAAATTAATCAATATTTTTTTGTCGGATGAATTGTAAAATTAAACAGAGTTATCTACCTTACATCATCACAATTTTCATTTGTGAGCATTGGTTATGTAAACCATATATTTTAATTGATTTGTTCTGTAAAAAATATTTGATTGACAAAACCAAACTTCACATTTTTCGTGGTTTTAAATGTAACTGAACCTGGTGAAATTTTAAAAATGAATGATAAGGTTTAGTTAGATGGGGGAACCGAACTCGCGGCTACCTTTTTGCAACAGTAGTTGACCCGACCAACCTTTTCCCCCAACAGAAATGTATCCCCACCCAACAACAGTAATGTATCCCCCCTTTCCCCGACTCTACAAAATGGAGGTCAGGATGGCGTCAGTGGCTATTATACAACCATCCAGTTTCCGGGATGTTCGTACAAGATTTTCAAGGTTTGTGAAATGTTATCATTTTAACGAAGTAACCACACGACTAAGCCTAACCTGAAATATGATTACAAATTAACCTATACATAGCTACAGAATAACGATTGTGGTCTGAAGATTCGAATCTTAATTGAAGTTGCCTCCCCTGTTATGGCAGATCCATAGAGGTAATAGGTGATAGATCACAGTGATTCAGTGACATTTTACCTGAAATGGACTGAG